AGTCGAAAGAGAAGGGAGACATGATGCTCTTCACTCTTTCCCGGAGCATGTCCAGAGTCACCGTCGACCGATCGAAAGAAGGCGATATCTCGTCTTCCTCTTGCAAAGGGACATAGAAGCGCACCACATTGTTTTCTCTCGTGATGACAAGCAGATGCCCGTGCGGACTGTCAATTGAAGACGGCCAGCGGATGTCCGCTGTGGTTCGACGTTAGAGGTCTTTCGTTCCATACCAGGTGTTGAACTTACGGAAATCCGTTATTGGGACCACATCCATAACTCCCCTAAGGCATGCATGTCAGCTACAGTCGATCACGAAATGGTGTAATAGTTTACCATATATGATCTGTGTGGGATCCCTCGAAAGGGATGTTCAATTGTTTCCTCGTCCAGCTGTGCGCCCCATCACAGCCAATGAGATACTTGGCCCGAACCGTCTCGATTGTCCCAACATCGTGCTTGCGTTTTGGGGCCAGGTCCTCCAGGTCATCCCGGGCTGGGCGGTAGGGTGTAGTACCCGGGTTAGGGATTGGGGTTGCTTCTTCCTCACTTAGAGTCCTCAGCTTGATCGTGATGGGGTATGCCTGGGGATCATTCTCAAGGCTCTCATCATAGGTCAGTGACTCTCCCATAACGCCTCTTTCAACGTCGATACTGGACGAATCGCAGATAACATCAAGGAAAAACCGTTCGATGCGGCCTTGGGACAATAAGGCCATGCGATGCGGCGAGGATTTCCAGATTGTGCTTCGCAGTTGTCCAGCGCGCTTCAAACCCCCTTTTCCGTCCGGTCTCTAGTATTCATGATTAGTGACCACTCCCACCGACGTTAACTGTGCCTCTTACCCAATACTTCAGACCTGCTGCGTGGTATCCTTCTTGCAGGATCCTTTGGGCAATCCCCATACTGTCAAGTAGTTCGAGCGTTCGGCCCCTCAGGCCATCTGCGTGGCCTCGAAATATTTTCGTGCTACGCTTGTCGATGATGCGAGCGTTAATGCCATACTGCGCCATCCAGTAAGCAACAGCTAGACCCGATGGACCCGCACCGATGATGAGGCTGTGTCTGGGTCAGCAGTAGCGGCCGAGAGACGGACGGGAAGACTTGCACGTCGGTTGTAGATTCAGTTGAGACGGTCATGATGGGTGACGATAGAAGCGAAACGAGGATAGTCGGAATGATTTGAGTGTGTCGACATTTTCAAGTTGGAGATGACAGCTATCTGCCCTTTATACTACAGTGAGACTGCAGCATGCAACATCCCGGTCGGACTATCACTCCTACATGCTAGTCGACACGGCCAATGGGGCCTTTGACTCTGCCGTCTTACCTCCACCACGCAGCTCGGAACGTTTATGTGTGAGCTCCAATAGGCAGCACGATTCAGCTAGCTCGGACCATTGCAATTAAGCCTCACAACGGGGTGAATCTGGCCGACAGAGGCGATAACTCGACGCATCACACATACAAGCCCTTTGTGTCATGGATCCGGAGATGCTGCCTGAGAAGGATATTGCTGTCAAAAGCCAAGTCTGTTAAGCAGCGACGAAGAAGAGCTACTCCCTTGGCAATCTGCTGGAGAGCTTTGAGGCCTTGGTCTTAATTCTGACGGATTCCCGGAAGAGCCGGGACTGTCACTCCAGTCACAGCTGTGTATGGGCTACTTGGAATTTCGATCAGCGATCAGACCAGTCGACCAGGTCATCGCTTACTACAGCTTGCTTTCCTTCCGACCACCGAGAAACTAGCGTCTGTGGCGTTGGTGCAACTACACAGTAGGCGATGTCCGGTCCTACAGTCGCGTCGCAACCCCGCGCTGTGTCAGGCCGCCAGCCATGCGCCGCCGATACTACCATCCCTACTTCGCGTTTACCTGCATCAAAATAGGTGATGTCTCCTGTATCAGTGTGGCCTTTACGGTATTAAGGTGACGGGTTGCAGCTAGGGAGGGTTGAAGACTCCTGGTCGCGAGGACGAGTATTTGACTTAGGGCAAAGTATGATTATATCTATCTTGAGCCCTTCTGAGCATCTCTTCCTCCTAGTATCTCCGGATCTGAGGTAAGCTGATTCTGACGTGGCCAAGACACCGACAGGGTTGACAGATATGGGGATGGTAGGAGAATCGGCATCCACCCCTGCGTGCCGTACAGTCCTTGCCATCCCTTCCCAGACCTCCTGGACAGCGCAAGCTACGATCCAGGCTATGTAGGCATTTTATGTTCCACAAAAAAACCAAGGCTAGAGGGCCATGTATGGAAGCTTTCTCCGCACCGTTTAGTCCGCCGGGGCCCCAGGCAGACTGAACCTACCCTTCGTGTTGTGGACGATCCATTCCGACGCGCCCACGAACTCCCATTGCATTCCAAAACAATGAACATCAAGGAAAATCAGAAAGTAACAGTCCCAGGAGTCGTGGATCCTTCTTCGCCCGTGATATAAATGATGGCTTGATCCTCTGGGAGCAATTGTTCTCATTCTGCATCCCGTCATCCGCAACCTCTGGCATCTACCAAATCGCTTGATCTTCGCCATGCATTTCTCCAGCGTTAGTATCACTCATCCGTATACTCAAAACATCTGTTAATTAGTCCAGCTCCTCGTCGCCTCGGCCCTCTGCCTGACCCCAGCCGTTTACGGCTACGGCGTGGCACAAGTCACAGTGAAGTCCCACGAAGATTGCGACCCTGGCGCTCCCCCCAATGACAAGCTTATTGGAGATGCCGAAACCACCTACGCCACCGAAGATACTTGCGAAAAGGCCAAGATCTCGCACAGCCTGTCAATCGATGCTTACTCGGTGAGCCTCCAAGACGTCACCAAGGATACCTCTGAGCGTTGCCATGGTCTGGGTGTCTATGCCAATGACCAGTGCATTGGCGTGCCCAATGCAGTGGTTCCTTTCTACCCCGGACAGGAGGATGCCGAGAGTGGGTGCATCCCAGATGACCCGTTCGACAAATACGTCTACGTCCGGCTGCTGTGTGATGGGGGTGACGGTAACAAGGATGACCTGAAGAAGGTGGAATCGCACAACCCTGCCGAAGACCTCGCCAACGACCCCGACGATACCCAGGACAATGGCGGCGGCAACATCCTCGGCGGACTTGGCCTCGGTCTGTAGACGGGTCAAAATGTGAGCGATAGCCATGTGTTGGACATGTACGGGTTGAAGCGGAGGTTGCCATGACTTACTGGGTTATAACCAATGTAGTCTAGAAAATAATAATGTTAATCTACCAGATTAAACTCTGAAACTTTGTATACAGTAAGACTGAATACATTAATAATTTTACCTAGAGCATAATCTTCCACCGCTGACTACGGAGTCCTCCTATACAACTCAATTCTAAGCGAAGCATGTAACCATAGTAGCACAACAACAAACAATAATTCCCTGTTACCAATGAACTAGACTACATCCAGCGCAGATCCGTAGATCACCCCCAAACACCCAATCACAAGCAGTTAAACCCTCTCAGGAATGCGGATACAGTATCCAGCCATCCACAATTGGCAATTGACATATTCACACCCACGCCCAGGAATGCTGAATGCTAGCCACTCCCGACGCCAACTACTCTTTCCTATTTACATGCATACTCATTCATTCTTAGCAACTATATTCTTCGCGTAGACATGTGTAGACGTGTAAATCAGCGGCTGGTAGAAGTTGCCAGAGGGGAAGGATAGTAGTATATAAGGATGTAGATGGCTCGAATCAACTGATGAGTACTATCATCATCATCACTATCATCATTCAGCTTCAATTCAATTCAATCCAATTGAACTCATCCTTGAATCCAAATATCTACTTGATCTTCTACTCACTCCTACTAAAAGAACCCTAATACCGAACAAGGAACCCAACCCCAACAATGCGCCACCACCTCACCACCATCTCCCTCCTATCCCTATCCCTAACCCTATCATCAACAGCAACCGCCGCCTCCACCATCGCCAACATCCACCCTGTCTTCCACAATACCTGTCCCCCATCATCACGACCACCAGTACCGCCAGCAGCTCTCTTATCCCCCCGCGCCCACCAACACATCCCCGTCCAACTCCACGAAGGAACATGTCACCCAATCCCCATAACATCCACGCATGTATCCTTCGACACGCAAATCGAGCAATTCGTATCGCCTGCTCCTAATGGAGAGGATACCAACAAGGATATCGAAGAAGGAGGGGGAATACCCCAACATTGCAACGTGACCATGCATGAACAGCCCGGGTGTGTGGATGAGCCGTTCCTGGCGCAAAGTGTCCATGCGGGGGAGTTTGGTCGGTGGGTGGGGAGTGAGTGTGCTGGACATCATTATCCTCGTCCTCGTCCGAAGTATCCGGTTGTGAGGGGGAGGGCTTCTCGGGGTGGAGGGGGTGGGGTTGGGAATGGGAATGGGAATGTGTGGGTGTTGTTGGAGTGTGCGGATGCTTCTGCTTCTCCTTCTGGGGATGATGTTCATGGTGTCGATCAGGTTGAAGGTGGGGATGGTGAAACTGCGCAGCAGCAGCAGGATAATAAAGAGGAAGAGGGGGATGAAGATAAAGTGGGAAGTGTTATGCATGGGGGTATGGTCAGCGCTACGTCTGGAGCGGGAGCGAATGGGACCACAAGTGCAGGGAATAGCACGTTGTCTGGCTCTTCGTTGCATGCTGCGATGAGTAACAGCACGGGAGTCAACAGCACGTTTAGTTCTTTGGTGCATGCTCCGCTGAACCAGACGGTGTCGTGGAGGTTGATGCCTCGGAGGAAGAGGGGGAGGTTCTCGATTTACTGATGGGGTTTGTTTCGGATGCGATCATGTCTTATGATAAAATGTCTCTCATGCTTGGGTGATTGTTATTAGCAATTACAGAATGAATTGAACGATATACATGCTAAAACCTTGACGAGATGCCAGGAAATATCAAGTAGCAGTCGATGTATGCACACCGAACACTTGGTACCCAATAATGATACAATAAATCGTTCAAAACTAGCTACAGCCAGACTAAAAACCAAAGCTGTCAAGCAACGAGTTGGCGTCTGGCTCTTGGAATGTCGTTGGAGGTGGCTTCGGTTTCGGTTTCGGTGCTGCCGCAGCTTGGATACTCTGTTGCAAGCTCTCGCGGATCGGCAGGTCCGCAACGACCAGACTGCTTCGTCGGCGCAGCATCTTGCGATAGTCTACACCATCATGCAAATCGAGTGGCCCCTCCTTGGCTGGTTGTGGTGAAGGAGGTCCTCCCAGGAACTCCCAGTGGCGTACCAGATCTAGGGCCAGGAGATCGCATCCCATGCGGTCGTACAGACGAGCATTGCGAATGACAAAACTCCACTCGGACTGCGCGGATACTTTAGATGCTCCTTTCAGCGTCTGTAGTGTCTTCTCACGGAGTTGCTTGTACAGGACAACCAATGCAGGGTCGTTGGAAAGATACGACTTGGCTTGCAAGGGTATCATCCCTGGGCTGCCTGGAGACGCTGGGGTCTCGGGGATAAGTGACTCAACCGGGGACTAGACATAATGTTAGTTTCCAGTATCCCATAGCAACTGCAACACTTACAATCAGCGATCGGACTGCCATTCCACGGCGGCCCAACATCCAGAAAGCCCACGATGCCATCCACCGGTTTCCATCAGTGGCAGCCTCAGGCAGCACTCTTTCTTCCAGAATCTCCTTCAACACTGGACCGTCATCTCCCTCGTAGGCACGCGTGATGGCGATGGCAAGCTGGAGATCGCCGACCTGGTTGAGACACACAAAAGCGGCGTCGCGCAAATGGTCCGCAAGAAGGAAGAAGGTGGCAGCATATTCTATACCGCATTAGTCGAAATTCCAGATTCAGTTCTATACTACGCACCAAATCTTCGCTTTCCAAGCAGAGCATATGCGTTCTTCAATGCCGACGTTTTCCAGCGCTCTTCCTGGAAGTTATTGGCAAGCAGTCGTTGTGTTGCACCTTGTTCACGATGCCAATGCGCCATCCGCCAGAGACCCTGAAGGACGTTTTTCTTCCTCAGGGCGATATAGTACAAGGAACAGTCGATGGGGTTCTTCTCTTCCGATTTAGTATACTCGTTCCGAGCAACAACTTCCAGTTGCGCCCGCTGACACTGTTAGCACAATCCGATCACTACCCAGAGGTGAATCTTACCACAGCAGTAGGATTCGACAGCCACATGAACATCCCACTCTCTCTGGCCGCTTTCCATGTCATCTTGCCACCAAATTGTCTTGATGCAAGGTCCACTAAGATGTCCTGACTGCCGCTATGGAATGCCCAGACAATTTCTCGCCAGGATACCGTGTCTTTGTTTGCCACTCCTTGGGACCTGCGTAGCATATGCTGACGGAAGAAGAGGAGGTATCGCGCAGCATTGTCATCCATTGAGCGGCGATGCTTCTCCACAGTTGCAACACACTCAATCGTGTCCACCAAGCGGAATTGCTCTTGGCTGGAAAGCTGGGGCAGGGTAAACCGCGCCAGGTTCTCGTTGAGCACCAGGGCCGTATCCTCATCCACTACGGTCGACTCTTCATCCATGTTGAGATCGTCATATGAGGAATCTATGCCTTTGGAGGTGGCTCGTTGGGGGATCTAATAGGTTAGCTGCGGAATTGTGTGGCTATCATATAGGTGCTTACATCATGTTCAATGTAAAAGCTTTCCAAGGGCATGTCCAGGAAGCCGTCAATGTCATCACCTTCCGTGTAGAACTTGAGTATGCAATGAAGTTTTAGCAAGACCGCATGTACCAGGTTGTTTTTGCCGCTCAGAATGCACTGCGCCAGGAATTGCGGGTGAAAAACGGGCAGCGGTCCATTCAGCCGGCTCACAACCTCGAAGAGATCGACGGTAGAAGATCCGCGAGCTGGTATACGTAACTGAGATATCAGATGATCGGAACTTTCAATTTCGTTCCCATACACGAAGAGTTGATTTCCGGCTCCAATGGCGAGACAGCCATTGCTAAGCCAGCATGAATCTCCGATAGGATGAGGAGTAAGGTCGCGGATCCAGATTTCGCGGATCTGTGTCCACGACGGGCGCGAGTCAAGGTAGTCATATCGCAGCTGGGACAACAGAATGACTTTGTGGGGAAACCCAACCGCTAGGATAGACTGCATGTCTGGTGTTGACGTCCAATCCAAATCACGGATGATGTCGCCTTGTGAGAAATGTTCTTCATACTCTAGCTGCGCATCATTCATATCCCATATCGTCAGATGCGTGCGGTCTTCATCCACAAGCGCTGCTTTCTTGATGGAGCTCCCGCTCGCAAGCGACGGGTTCTTGATGCCTGTCTCTACGGTCGAAGTCAAGAGCCATTCAACGCGGCTCTTCTCTTTGTCAATCTTGGCCGTCCAGGTGCGGACAATGCCAGTCTTGGTATATGAAAGTGCAATATCTGGCGAAAAGAGGTCAAAGAAGCCTGGCATCTCGGCTTTGCGGCCGGCTGGGTCGACAGGCAAGATGTAAGCCATATCCTCATCCAGTCCCAGATGGAACGTACAGAACTTCCGCAGCTGGCATTGAGTCCCATCCGCTGTTCCGTTGGTTTGCTTAGAGGTCGGCATTCGAAACTCCCAAGCAATTCCGTCCATGCTCGCGCCAATAGTTGCTACGTAGACAACCCCATTCTGCTCTGCTGTAGGTATAGGTAAGACACACAGCGGCTTGCTTGATAATTCAAAAGTTGTGGCTGCCAGCTTCTTGGCATGAAATGGGCGGATATCCCAGAAGGAGATTCCGTTGTGATGGAGATTGACCAGAAAGTCGCCGTCTTCTAGCACGCAACTGCGATGTATATGTTCGTCAGAGAACAGCTCGCTCTGTCGAAGAAGCGCCGTACCACTCTCTCGCTGCTTTTGCCTCCAGATCAACGCCTTGTTATCATCCGTACGCGAGGCAAGCGTGTGGCCAATGGCATTACGAACGATCTTCTTTATGGGGCCATTGTGACCGGTCCATGACGCCTTCATAGACACCCGGTTCTTGCGCGGAGCAGGATCAAAAAGCACATCTACCGGGGAATCGAACCACTCAATCCGGCCGTCAAAGTGATGCACTAGAATGCTGATGGAGTCGCCTGGTTCTGCACCCTGGAATGCATGCAGCTGGGCATAGTCTTCTTCCGGAGAGACACCGGGCATGAACGCGAAGTCCAGGCCTTCCACGTGTAGAATATTGAACATGTGCATTTCAGATTTGACCTTGGACCCAACATCTTCCAGGGCCCAGGCTGACATGTGCCCTTGACCATCAATCACGACACAGACTTCGGGGCTCTTATTCGCGACTTCGATGATATGTTCCAGAGTGTGATTATCCTTGTTCCCCGTACTTCTCTGCACGGCTCGCTCAGTAGCCATGCAAAAGTCCCGACTGTCCACAATGAAGCCATATCGTCGGGTCGGATCGCTCTTGTCGGTCGCATGTCTTGGCTGAACAGAAGCGGCCATATCAATTTGCGCCCATAGTTGCAAGGCGGTCGGCGCATGGTGATCCACGGTCGCCCACACCCGAATCTTATTGTCGGCGCATACGGTGTAGAATACATTGTCCATAGACTGCTCTCGATGGTACGGTCTTCGCCAATGTATCCCAGTAATGACTGTAGGGTGGGGAAGATATGACACCTCGAAACGAATGTCCGTCCCGAATGCGAGTCGGCGCCATACTTTGGCCATGCGGTCGTAATGTCCAGTGGTGACGAGGAGAGTTGCATCGGGGGAGAAGCGCGCGAATTTAACGGGAGAAGCCAGCTTCTGCTTCCAAACTTGGCGCGGGGTATCGTTCAAGAACCAGAGAGTGAGGTGAGAGTTGCCGAGAAGCAGCTCCTCGGAGGAGCCCCATGACAGGGTACGAATAGTCTCATTGTCGTCTTCGCTGCGAAAGGTTTGGACTAGAGACCACTACCCCATAGATCCATCAGCATGCACTTCTCGTATAGCTTGTATCTTTCCATCTCATTGACCACGGACCTTCAAGGTTTCATGCTGGATGCCATACGGTTGGTAGATAAACACATCGGGTCCACCGCATACGGCGATCTTTCCGGAGAGCTCATCTATGGTGACAGCCTCCAGGGCGTCGGTATCGTCGACATAGATGGTTTGTAGGAGCTTGTGCGGACCGCCGAGGATAACTAGTGCATGGCCGGATATGTATGCCTGCGGAGAGAGTGCGCAGAAAGCGCTAAATCAGCGACATCCACGCTTATAGAACACCGGGGAAGCTGAAGAGCTTCATGCAGAGAGCTTACCACAACACGAAGTCCATCCCACAGCGCGGTGCTGTAAGCCTGGAGCTTCGTTGGGGGCCTCCCCGGCAGTACCGCTCGCATGGAGGCGGGTGGTTGTGTGAGAGGTAGAATGCGTTGGATGCGCGGGGATGCGCTCACAATGGCGCTACACCATTGCCAGTGCGCAGTTATAGGAGCAAAAACTTAGTTGACAGCTGCGCAATGTGACGGGGTTTGCAAGAAAGACGCAAGTATAGAGCTGTATGCGGGTGGAGGGGACAGCTCACCTCGAAGATGCAAGAAGAGCATCCCCGATCGTCGGCCCCGTGATCCACACCGCCCAGACTCATTCATTCATCGTCATCAACCCCAACTGCTTGTTCGGATAGCCTCGGTCCTCATTTACTTTGACTGACTCTGGCTTTAAGAAGACATACAATGATATGGTGCTTTGCCACATTGTAGCTCTTAAGCAATATCCCCATCTAGTCCAATCAGCTCTTTCAGGGACATGTTATCCCCGGGGATCATACCTATTTAAATTAACCTCGCTAATTAGGCTTGCGGGGATCCAGACTGCTGCAAAGTAAGCAGGGATCTTTGTGACCAAGTAGTAATCAAATGTGACTGTGATTAGTTGTTGATAAAGCTACCGCTGCAAAGGACTTCCACTTATCAGTTGCAGGGCTGTGCTCTGATAATAGTAGAGCGGGGTGAGGATATATTATCACCTAAGGGACTGAATATACTACTTCACTATAGTACTTTATTTTCCGTACACGGACGTGAAGATCTGCCTCTTGCTGGATAGTATAATTCCAGTCATACTCCCAGATTTATACCTTCGCTTTTCTTTTTTGCTTCTAAAATTGCTTGTAGCCACCGCTTACGTTTGCAAAAGCGGTCTATCTACTCTGCAACTGCTTCACACCTCAACCCCCTACAACCCTAACCCCAACCACCAACCAACCATGGACTTCGATCCCATCGCAGAAAGAAAACAAGAACAAAAAGCCACAGCCTGGCTCCGTCTCTGGACCAGCCGGCAGCCAGAGCTCCTATCAATGCACCTTGCCCACAAACACCGACCAGCCAGCGGCAAACCCATCTCTGCATGCCACTGGAAAAGCGGAGCATTCAACATCTGCTATCGAGTAAGATACAGCAACAGCAAAGAAGAACCAGATATCATCATCCGTTTTGCCGCTCTAGGAAGAGCCATTCTCCGCCGAGAAAAATCCCAAAATGAAGTCGCCACAATGAACTACCTCCGCAAGACCACCTCGATCCCCATCCCCGAAGTATACGCCTCGGGGATCTGCTGGGCAGGTCCCTACATAATCATGTCATTCATCGAAGGTGTACCACTATCGCAGCTCCTGAAGGACCATTCTGTTGAAGGACGACCAGTCCTAAACCCGCAAATAAGCAATCACAGCTTGAAGCACGCATACCGCGAAATGGCCATCCTAGTCCTCGAGCTCTCCAAACTAGAGTTCAATTCCATCGGCGCACTCGAAGAAACAGAGCATGATTGCTTCAAAATCACCAAACGACCTCTCACCTCCAACATGAACGAACTAATGGCCTCTGCAAACCTACCACTAGAAGTCTTCCCACCTCCCTCTCACACCTTCACTTCATCCACAGATTACCTCCACTCCCTAGCCACACAGCATCTCCTCCACCTTCGTCTACAACAACAAAAACCCTCCATCACCAACGAAGAAGAATTCCAGCGAAAACTAATCGCTCGCTACCTATTCCTAAACCTAACGAAGAACCTCCACCTCACTAACCCCCATGGCCCCTTCCGTCTCTACTGCGACGACTTCCGTCCCTCAAACGTCCTCATAGATCTCACTACCTCTCGCGTCTCAGCTGTCATCGACTGGGAATTCACCTACGCTGCCCCAGCTGAATTCACATACGTAGCGCCCTGGTGGCTTTTACTCCAGAGTCCGGAAGACTGGGAGGGGGATTTGCATCAATTCCTGGATCGGTATATTCCCCGGTTCAATGTGTTTTTGGAAGTATTGCGTGAGTGTGAAGACGAGTTAATGGGGCAGGGGCTTCTTTCTGAATCCCAACGTTTGGCTTCGAGGATGGGCGAGTCCTTGGACAATGGGCTATTTTGGGTGTTTCTTGCCGCGAGGTATAGTTCTGTGTTTGATGAGATTTATTGGGAGTTTGTTGGGCGGCGGTTTTATGGGGATTTGGGGTCTTTGCAGGATCGTGTACGGCTGTTGAGTGAGGAACAGCGGCGGGAGATGGATGAGCTGGTGAGAGGTAAGTTGGGTCGGTGTGATAGGGGTGAAGATGAGTTTGATGATCATTATCCGATTGATATGTTACTTGAACTATGATTTCAGGTGTTTCACCAACATGAGGTGTATATTGTTCAATTATCCAAGCTGACAATAGCTAATCCGCACAATACCGGCCATGCAAAAAGGGTATCTATCATAACCTTCGCCCCAAAAAGCTGCACCATCCAAAACCCCAAAATAGACAAAGGGAACCAGAACAAAATGTACATAAAGTCCTATACAAGTATAACCCGGAAGGGTTTCACGTCCGTCGACCGGATGATCTTCTGCCATCGGAAGGAGACCCCGGTTCTTCATCCACGAACCGGACGCTAGTGCCCAGTGCGCTCGCTCGTCCAGTACGGCGTCTAGTCGAGTCGGTTCGAGGCAGAACAGTACCGACGCGCAAAAGTCGACTGGCAAATGGAGTGTAAGAGGGCGTCGCAGGAGTAGTGGAAACCTGCGCCATGGCCCGCGCTCTGGCGGCTCGTTTGGACGGCGAGGTGAGGAAGTTGGGTGTCGCCAGCGGCGTAGTCGAAGCCAATTGAATTTGGCTGTTCGCGGCCACAGCTAGGTCGTTGGTCTTAAAGGGAGTCGTGGTTTGATACCAAGGATCGAAAATGCGTCGGTTCGGCTCGGCTTCGAAGGTCGCTCCATCATAGTTTCTCGTCGGACTTATCAGAGGCCCTGGTAAGTCCCGCGACTCGGACTTCACGCGTGCTTTCTCCAGCCAGCTACGGAACATGCTTCGACAGTGCTTCCTTAGGTTTCGTTCCTTCATCGCCTCGGCGGTCTCGGAGAAGCTCTTGACCTGGAAGACACGGAAGCTGAGCTTCCGCAATTGGATATTGGCCTGGCCAAGGACATGCTCCCGATTCATGTTATTTGCTTGTTGCTCCTGGCGCTGATACACAAGCAAGGCCTCGACCCAGCGCGTCAATTGTTCGCCAACAATTTGGCGCGCATAATGATCATCGGCCGCATCGCAGTCCTGGAGGCGATTGAAGGTTTTCTCTTGCCATCGAGGTACAAGCTCGGACGCCATTGCCAAGCAGTGTTGCCGTGAGAATTGCAGGGCTTGCTGCTCCAGACCTGCCATATGTAAGGACCTGGAGTGCCAATGAGATAGAGCTTTCGATGCCAGATTGATCTTGATCTTCCTCCGTGTCTGGATATACGCTTGTTGGCGACGTTTTTTGGCAGATTCAACTGTCGCGACGCGCCATTTCTTGGTGAACTTGGTAGCCAGGAAGTAGTATCTGGCGGTATTAGCCCATCCCTCTATCTTGACCACATGCTGATATTTGGAACGCCAGGCCACAAGCGATTCCTGCGCTAAGCGTGGAGCGTAGAACTCGGAGGCAACCATCTCCCTCTCGCGTTGCAACGATAGCTGATCCCGCCAGCGTTCCAGCTTGGTTCGGAGCAAGTCTTCGTTTCGTTGCTCCTCAAATACCTCCGCACGGTCAAGCAATTCGGCATAAGTCCTCCGAACGTTAGTCACAAAGACCGAGAAAACTTCCCGCTTGATGCGCTGCTCCCTAATGCGCTGCATGAGACGGTATCTCTCCGCTAAAATCCATTTGTACATCGCTTCGAGCTTGATACGTTCCTCAATTCGAGCATAGAGAGCCTGACAGCGAAGCTGGTCATTCCACGTTGTCCACGCATTGCGTATAATCCGTTGCCGATCCATCTCCCGTGCCTGCTTCAGCATTTGAGCGCGATGCACCCACTGCGAGTACGCCGCTTGAAGGATATGTGTGTCCACCATTTTTGTAACATGGTTAGCGACCGGGGCTAAATGAGCTTGAGCCCTCCATTCTATCAGCTTCTCCTCCAGAACCTTGCGGCGCTCCATCAATGCTACTTGTTGCTCCCTCGCAATGACACCTTGAGTCCTTTCATGCCAAAGTTGCATTACCGATCCCACAGCATAATGCTTGTTCCGAACATCAATTTCATGAATGCACTCCCTGTTGGTTCGAAACTTGCGCAACCAGTACAACAGAGAGCGTCTCTTGAGGCAATAGTCGTACCACTGAGGGGCACGCTGTTCGCAGAAGCTCCAGAACCACTGCCAATAGAATGTATGTTTCGACTTCTCCCTACTGATAACAACCGCCTTCTCTTCCGCCTGTTTGACCTCTCTGGTCCTTTTTAGCCAGGCAGCAAAAGGTTTTCGCAAAGCGAAGCGCTGGGCTTTCATCTCATTGACTGCGGTGATCTCACGCCATGCATGGAAGTACTTGACGCTAAGGATATGTCGCCGAGCTGCAGATGTCCGAGCAAGTTCCTCTGCAGTCAGTTGCGCCCAGTGAGAGAACGCCTTGGTGAGGAGAAAGAGATCCCGAGCCCGTCCCGCGCGCTCTTCCAGATGCTTGAAGAATCTCTCCGTTCGCTCTTCCTGCCGTCTGTCGCGGATGATGGTATGCCACGTTTGAAACGCCTGTCGAAGCAAGGTGTTTCGGTCTCGATTTACGGCGACCATCTCCATATTATGGTGGCTCTGTCTGGCCTGTATCGCCCTCTTAACCCACTGCGTGAGAAGTCGACGGTTGATGGCCCGTTGGCGGTACATATTGAAAGTCGATGCATCTCGCAGCAGATCCGAAAGCGATGGCCTATATAGCATTTCCGGCGGCATCTCAGGCCGTTCAAGGGGACTGATGCTATCGTCACTAGAGGACACTGAAGATGATTGCTCTCCCTCTTCATCGGAGCCATTTGAGGATGTTTTCGAGCGCCGGGCTCGTGAGGCTTCCGCTATTCTCTCTGAGCGATCGCGGTCGACGGCAGACCGGGCATAGAGTCCATTGGGAAGAGGCTTCTCGTCAGCCGGCGGCGGCTGAGCAGACGAGGATTGCGCAGCCAGAAAGTCCATCCGACTCATGAGCCGGCGACCCACGTCGATAAACTGTGCCATCAATTGAGTTCTGTCGGGGGACTCCGCTTCTGGAGAGACCCGCGCATGCTTCGGAGACGGCGACGGCTTTGTGAACGGATACTCAGGCTTCCCGACTTGTATTCGCGACATGGACGACCGTGAGCTTGGGCGGTTGATGAAGCTTCTCTGAGTGGGATCGTCGCCAACATCGTACATGGAATTGAAGGACGCCCGCCTTCGCAGAGGTGTCTGTAGTTGTTTTTGTGGCTGTGGCTGCGTTGAGTCCTCCCGGGTGTCGCGTATCCTTCGCCTAGGCCTGCTTTCGATGGAGGGTACACTGTCCGGGTACGTCTCATCGTAGGTATCATCCTCGCCGCCGAATTCAATGACAATGCCCATCCGTTCGAGGAGGTTTTCGAATTTGTCGAAGAGCGACTCTCCTACGACATGTTTGCTTCCCATTTTGAGCAAGAAGCGCATACAGGCATAGCCTGGATCCGCGTCGACGCCATGTTCGGCAATAACCTCGTCGTAGGCCTTGAATAGCACACGGTACGGGAGTCGCTCGACTTCTGGATCCCTCTCCGCACGGGTAATGACCTGGTAGAGGAGGCCGACATCTATGTTGAACAATAAGCAATCAGCATTTCGCAAAGGTAAACAAGACTATGAAGAAGTGTGGAGGGGGCTAATAAATGCGACAGAGCATACCTTCATCGGTGAGCGCCGGGTCTTCATGGGACAAAGGTCTTCGCTGAAGGGGAACGGGAGGCATCGAACTGTCCGCGAACTAAGGCGCGTTTTTCGCATATGGCTCATAGAGACGGAACAGGGAATCATTAAGCATCGCGGAACAGGCACACACACACACGGACACGGTCGGGGGTGGTGTTGCTAGGTGGGTTGTCAGAGGCCCACAATGCTCCAGGCCGCAAAGTCAAGCTAAAGTCAAGTTAGACCGCAAGAGAGATCCCCAAATGGACCGGTGGGACCCAATGGCACGGCCGGGCGACAAGGCATTGACTTTTTATCAGTCAAAAAGCCAAGTTGTTTTTGCTTTGCTTTTGCTTTTCGTGTCGCGCCGGCGATGGGAATGTGCTGGGTCATGTGATGAGATTATGTAAACGGGAGCTGGTCCAACAGTCACGCTTTGGATAGAAGAACAATCAATCACCTCTAGATAGTACATAAGTCTTTAACTCTCTGTGTGGCAAAGACACTGAGCAAGATGCCGTCCACAAAGACAAGACCCATTGAGAAGTTTGCAAAGGCTGCCTCGAAGTGCTCGGTCGAGGTATGATATGATATGAATCACCGAATCTGCTCGATCCAGCTGACAGACGGGCTTTCAGGCCGCTGCGTATGGCAAATGCGTCGTTGCGGACTACAATGCCGTGCAAAAGGACATGTGCGCCAAGGAGTTCATGAAGCTCAAGGACTGCTTTCTGGTAGGAAGGAAACCCGCATCTCCGGGATGACTTCATCTGTAACATGGCTAATTCACGCTTGACAGGCGGCCTCGAAGAAAGTTTAATGGTGGATGATGGGTTGCAGGAGAACTATATGGTTTAGGCGCATTGGGCTGTTTGGCTTCTACTAGCATGTATGGCGGTGTCTGTATAGGAAAGGTCTCTACAGGTATATGTAAAAACTTATCATCATGAACGTGTGTAATTTTATTCATCCATCAACTAAACAAGAAGAAATGTCAAAACATCGTAACTAGCGGGAATTGTATGGTCTAAGCTATCAACATCTTATCTGTGTGAATTGATCAAACCTCTACAACTTGAGCAGACGCAACAGGAAAGTGGCCTTTTGTACTTCTTGCTCTTCTTGGATGATCATTCCCGGCTCCTCTCCGCTGGGCACCTTGCCGTCCACAAGCTCGTAGCGGTCGAGCGGTCTGCGCACAACCTTTTCGATGGCCTTGGCTTGCGTCTCAAACGCCTTGTTGATGCCCACATCCTCGGGATCCGACAGGACGGCATACTCCATCTTCACATCATCAGTGGGGACAAGACCCGCCTTCTTACGAAGACGCTGCAAACGGTTGATGATCTCACGGCCCAACCCTTGCTCGGCCAACTCGGGGTACAGGTTAGCGTCCAGGATGGTCAGCAAGTCGCTATCCGTGTTGGGTTCCATGTTGGCGGACGCGCTGTCCTCCTTCATTCCACGCTTCACGACCAGATCACCTTCAACAAGCTCAATGCCGTCCACAAGCATCTTCTTGTCGGCGACGAACTTCTTCACGTCCTCGCTGGTCAGAGAGGGCAAGGCCTTCTTGACCTTCTGGACCTCCTTCTTCAGCTTCTTGCCCAACGTAGGCCAGTCGGCGGTCACACTGTACTGGACGTTGTACTTCTCCTCGTCCGAGGACAGGACAAGCTCAAGAACGTTCAGCTCCTCGAGGATGTATCCCTGCAGGGACTTCACATCGTCCAGGTACTGCTGGTCCTGGTGGATGACAACGAGAGTCTTCAGCGGCGTCTTCAGACCAATGTTCCGACGTTCACGGGAGATACGAGCCATATCAATGACCTTCTGCATCCGGGCCACGCGCCTCTCGACAACCTCATCGAAAAGCTCTTCCCGAACCTCGGGGAAGGGAAGGAAGTGGACACTGCGGCTGTCCTCGCTACGGAGCGCCTCGGGGATGTGAGGGAGAAGCTTCAGGTAGATGGTGTCGGTAAGGAAAGGAGTGAAGGGAGCCAGGCCCCGGACCAGGGTGTACAGGACCTCGAAGAGGGTGTTCAGGGCATGCTGGGTATCATCGACACCGTTCTCACCCTTGAGACGTCTGCGGTTGAAACGAATGTACCAGTTGGTGGTGTTGTCGATCAACTCAAGCAGGCGAGGAACGACAGTGTACAGACGGTATCCGGCCATCTCCTCGTTGACGAACTTGAGAAGACTCTGGCAACTGGCCAGGATCCAGCGGTCCATGACGTTGGTGTTAGTAGCCTCCGCCTTAGGATCAAAGGTGTAATCGAAGCCCTGGGTCTTCTTGAACAGAGCGGCTTGACCCTCGAAGAACTTGTAGCTGTTCCAGAGGGGAAGAAGAACCTTGGCGACAATCTCCTTGACGCCCGACTCCTTGAACCGAAGGGGCTCAGCGCGCACAACTGGAGAGTTGATCAAGTAGAGGCGAAGAGCATCAGAACCGTAACGCTCCATGACGAGGGAGGGATCAGGGTAGTTCTTAAGTCTCTTGGACATCTTCTTTCCATCCTCTGCGAGAACAATGCCGTTGACGACACAGTTCTTGAAAGGAAGCTTGCCAAAGAGGTGGGTACCAAGCACAGTCAGGGTGTAGAACCAACCACGAGTCTGGTCAAGACCCTCCGCGATGAAGTCACCGGGGAAGCTGTTCTCGAACTGTTCCTTGTTCTCAAAGGGATAGTGCTGGGATGCATAAGGCATGCTGCCAGACTCAAACCAGCAATCAAACACCTCGCTAACACGGCGAAGGACGCCCTTGCCCTGCTTGCTGGGGATGGTGATCTTGTCGACCTTGTCGCGGTGCAGGTCGGTGAGTTCACCCTCGTAACCACTAAGCTGCTTGAGTTCCTCGGCACTACCGACGGCGACAACCTCCTTGAAGTCATCGCTCACCCACAAGGGCAGAGGAGTACCCCAGAAACGGTTTCTCGAGATGTTCCAGTCGCGAGCATTCTGGATCCAGCTGGAGAAGCGTCTCTCCTTGACGAAGCTCGGCACCCAGTGGGAGTCGTCAATGCCCTGGAGCATCTGAGGGATGATAGGGCCGATCTTGACGAACCAAGCCGGCACGGCCCGGTAGATCAAGGGAGTGTCGGAACGCCAGCAGAAGGGGTAGCTGTGAGTAATCTGGCTGTCGACAACCAGGCGTCCAGCAGCCTTCAGGTGCTTGATGATGCCCCTGTCGGCAGCCTTGACGTGTTGGCCCTCGAAGTCCTTCACTTCGGCTGTGTAGCAACCCTTTTCGTCAACAGGGTTAGGGGGAAGACGGCTCTCACTGATGACGCCGTTCTCCATGCCAACTCTGTAATCGTCCTCACCAAAGGCGGGAGCCTGGTGGACGATACCGGTACCGTCCTCAGCAGTAACGTACTCGGCGTTAAGGACCCGGAAACCGTGCTCCTTGAACTCTTCGTAGAAGTAATCGAAGAGGGGCTGGTACTTCCAGTCCTTCATGGTAGCACCCTTAAAGCGGTCGACGATCTTGAACTTGGCCTTCTTGGGGTCCTTGTACAGCGTCCGGAGCAGAGACTCGAGCAGGATGTAGTGCTTTCCAGATGCCTCGTCGAGGATCTTGATGTATTCGAAGGTGGGGTTGACTGCGAGGGCAATGTTCGAGGGCAGGGTCCATGGGGTGGTTGTCCATGCAAGAAGGGAAGTCTCGGGCTCGTGGACGAGGGGGAATGTGACGACGACGGCAGGGTCTTGCACATCCTTGTAGTTTTGTTGAGCCTCGAAGTTACTGAGAGGGGTGTTGAGGGCGGTCGAGTAAGGCATGACGCGGTAGCCTCTGTAGACAAGGTCCTTGTCGAACAGCTGCTTGAAGACCCACCACACTGATTCCATGAAGCTCACGTTCATGGTCTATAGTGCATGGTCAGCATATGTAGAGACCGAGGGGTATAAGATGATGGGCCTGTCTACCTTGTAGTCATTGTCAAAGTCGATCCAACGACCCAGTCGCTCGATAGTTTGACGCCATTCCGAAGCAAATCTCATGACAATGGCTCTGCACTCCTCGTTGTACTTCTCAATACCAATTTTCTCGACGGCCTCGAGACCCGACATGCCCAGCTTCTTGTCGATCTCGTACTCGATGGGCACACCATGGGTGTCCCAGCCAAAGCGACGCTCGACATAGTGACCCTTCATAGACCAATAACGGGGAATGATATCCTTGATGGTCGAGGCCAACAAGTGACCATAGTGAGGCAGACCGGTAGCGAATGGAGGGCCATCGTAGAAGGTGTATGGTTTACGACCTTCGGATAGCTCAACCTGCCTGCGGAAGGCGTTGATCTCCCTCCACCTCTGGAGGATGGCCTCCTCCTCGCGGGGAAAATCAATGGACATGACGGGCGAGCGGGGAAGGGGAGAGGAGGTGACAGGGAGGAAATCTGTCGACTTGCGATCTTCCAGCGAGGGATCCGCGGGGTAGATTTAAAGCCCGATTGAAGGTTGCGCACAAGCGGCAGAATCGTTTTGACTCACCCCGCGCACCATTTTTTGTCTCCGCTGGCCAATCAGCGCCCGCTTCGCCTACCGCCGACATCAGCCGGTGTGACTGTCCCTCTTTCCAATGCGGATTCATAAATATCTCTAAATATGGAATAGTTTTTGGCTCAGGTACACTGTACAATGGCTACTACGCTAGTCACAAGGCTGAATCCCATCTTTGATGTACAAATTGGGACTAACCTCCCATGGCTCTGACTCACTCATGCTTTCTTTGTCATTGGAATGCAATTCAGGGCTGTCGCAACTCATGGCTGCTACGCCCTACGCCCTGCGCCTCATGCAAGGGCCACCAATATTGGTATTTCCATTAGGCTTCCTCCTCGTCCTCATCCTCGTCCTCTTCCTCCTCCTCATCATCTTCAGCTTCGGACACTTCTTGACCGAGATCCTTCAAACGTTGCTATGGAACAGTATGAGTCATCTGCATAGTCATTGGGTTAGGGCCAGTGGACTTACCTTGTCCTCATTTCTCTTCGCCTCCAGATCTCCGAACACGATCAGCAAATCCTCAAGCTCAGACTGTGCCGCCTTGCGAGCTTCCTCCTTCTCCTTGGCCTCCGCCTCGGCCTTCTCGAGCTGTTTCCGGGCCTCTTCAAGCGCTTGGGTAGCCTTGCGTGCTGCCTCCTCAGCCTTTTTTACCTCACTTTCAGCCTTCTCGGCTCGCTTCTCCGAGGCAGTGCACTTAGAGGACAGTTCATCGCGTGTAGACTGTAGTTCTTTCGTAGCCTTCTCCTTAGCAGTGTCCAGTTCCGATTGTAAGGCCTTGGACGCGGACTTGAGCTCCGCAACCTCGGTCTCATGCTGCTTTTTGGCGGCGTCCATTTCAGACTTAAGCGTCTTGATGGTTTCTTGGAAGCTGGTTACTTCAGTTGCCTGCTTTCCTTTGCCAGCCTCCAGCTCGGCTTGAAGGCTCTCGATCGTCTTCTTCAAATCGGACACCTCAGTAGCATTCTGTCCGTTGCTGGAATCAATCTCCGACTGCAGCGTCTCAATCGTCTTCTTCAGATCAGAAACCTCTGCCGCGCTCTGGCCACTGCTGGCGTCAAGCTCCGACTGCAGCGTCTCGATTGTCTTCTTCAGATCAGAAACCTCTGCTGCACTCTGTCCGTTGCTGGCATCGAGCTCCGACTGTAACTTCTGGATTGTCTTGTTGAGGTCGGAGACCTCAGACTCATGTTTCTCTTGACTGGCATCCATCTGCGACTTGAGCTCCTCGATTGTCTTGTTCAGACCAGAGACTTCGCTAGTATGCTGTCCTCTGCCTGTCTCAAGCTCTGACTGCAACTTCTGGATTGTGGTGTTCAACTCAGAGAGCTTGGCCTCATGGTGTCCCTTAACAGTATCGAGTGCTGACTGAAGATTCTGAATTGTGGTGTTAAGTTCCAGAACTTCCGCCACATGCTGTCCCTTTATCTTTTCCGCCTCCGACTTCAAGATCTGGATAGTAGTCTTCAGGTCAGCAATCTCAGCAGAGGATTGCTCCTTGCCACGATTGAGATCAGATTCGAGTGAACGAATCTTTTTCTGCAGGTCAGCCACCTCGGCTTCATGATGCTTTTTTACTTGGAGACTTCTCCTCTCATGGTCTGCAGATGTTTCCTTCAGCTGTCGATCAATGGCTCGTAACTGTTCGCCATGCTGTTTCAAGAGCACATTTTGAGCGTGCTTCTGCTGCTCCTTTAAGACATTCAGTTCTTGTTCATGACTCCGCTTCAATGATTCACAGATCTGCTGCAGTTTAGAAGACTCTAATATGGTAGCGTCTCTCGTCTTTCGGTGTTCAGCCTGCTCGTGATCGAGCTTGGATTGCAGAGCAAGCAGATCCGACTCCAGCTTCTGTGACAAAGCGCCCTTTTCTTCTAGTTCTGCCCGAAGCGAGTCCACAAGTTCGCGAGAAACTCCTCTTTCAACGCCATTGGTGATCACTGAGATCTCGATCTCGGGTTCACGGTCAATCGCACGTAGCAAGCGGCTGAAATTGTCTTTGAGAAATTCAACAAAGGTCCTGTCGAAGTAGATTTCCGGAAGGCCACCGTCGTATTGTGCCCCCACAGTCTGTGGTAGGACCTCAAAGTCACGTACCAGAGGATCCTCTCTGAACCGGGTGATCCGGTCAATGTATTGTTCTCGTCCTAGCTGCTCGATCAACAACTTATGCAGAGTCTTCCGCGGTATGGGCGAGTCCTTTGAGGAAAATTCGTATATGATTCCGAGTAGAATGGTGCAAAGACCCGGAACAAGTACGTAAGTGGCTCCGCGGTGCTTGATTTCTTGCAGCAAGGTCTGTATGCTGCTTCCCTCACCCAACAAGTCATTCACGGCATCCGGTTCTTCGAAGAGCCAACCACAGAGCAGCATCAAATATCCAAGGGTGATTCTTTCATCATCACTTCTTTGAATACCGGTGATCAAGTTGCCTACTATCGTCTGGATGCAGGTAACGACTTCTTCACCCTGTTCAGCATCCCCCTCAGTCACACCCATGGCGATTGATTTGGCTTCAGCGTTCTCGAACAGCAGTTGGTACATCAAGACAGATGCCATCCAGGTTTGGTAGGGGTCGGCATTTCCCCGAGCTTCTGGCGGCATCAACAGGACAGTCAGGATATTGGGGATCTGGTCTTCTCCGCTAATATGGCCTTGGATCGCTCTTCCTAGCACGTGGACACGGATCCCGGTGTGGTTTGCGAAGAATGCCTTGATACATTCGCAAGCGGCAAGTCGTGCATCAAGAAGCGACAATGGAGCGGGCTCGAGAGTCAATTTCAGCAACGCTTCGATAACATTGATCCGCTGGAGTTCTTGATGTGTCGAATCCCCATTGACAGCATTCGGAGTAGGACTCGAGCCCCAAATGACCTCAACGTCTCCAAAACGCTCCTGCAAGGGCTTATTGCTACGTATTAAGTCGGCGCATGTCGCAAGAGCCTAGCACAATTAGCATCAACTTTATAGGCGATTAGTGTCTCCTACCTTAGATGTCACATTGACATTGAATCTTTGACCGAAAGCGGTGTTTAGGACTTGTTCCATGACACCATTGTTCCAGAACGCTGTCTGGTTGGCAGGAGTGTTGACCCCTCCTTTGATTAAAAACAGCTGGACGATAACCAAAAGTCCCCAAAGGTTCTTATCTCGATGTGCGAGAGCCCATTGTGGGGTGGGCTCTTCCGAGTCCTGGTCCTGGTTGACATCCGCGAGGAGCTTTGCTAGCCTCTTGACACAGCCCGTCTCCCGAAAATATGACTGGTTGGAGATGTTGAGCCTCAGAAGGTTCGCGAGTAAGGAAAGGCAGTCTTCAACCACTTCCGATCCGTGAGTCAAAGCACCTTCAGCTTCTATCAAGGAGAAGATAAGGTCAAACGCGTTTTCGAATGCGACGAGCTTTTGGAACTCTTCGGAGGCCGGAGTAAGAGCGATCAGGAGAATTAAAGCTTCTATTCGATGCACAGTCGTAATTAGCAACAGTTGCACACCGCGCTTCCGCGCTGAGGGGGGAGCTCAACATACCATTGCGCACCGGCTCTCTAGCATCTCCCAGAGCACTGACCAGCCTCGGTATACCCAACGGCGCCGTCAGGATACATTCTTGTGTTCTTTCTGGCCGTGCGCTCGAGATCTGGAACATCAACTGCAGGGCATACAAGCGAGAGTAAAAGTCACGAGTATCCAGGAGGTCAAGGAGCGCAGTAATATTGTCTTGACGCTTTTTGCCCGGTCAGCAAGTGCATGTCTCGGCCAGTAACATGTACAAACCTGCGTAAATTCATCGGACAGCCAAAGAGCGATTTCGTCTGAAGCTTCGGGCTAGACAGCGCATGTCAGCAGGGGATGCGACAAACTCGGCTGAAGAGGCCACCAACACTATTCTCGTCCGGGGTAAACAACATCAACAAGGTCTCCAAGACCACCTTCAACGTATCCACATCTTCACGATCATCTTTGAGGCTGTTGATCAACGGGCGTAGTGCGCCCGAAGCAACGGAGGCAGGAAAGGACTTTGCAAAGCTTCTCAATCCTTGTATAGCTGCCCGTCGATCTTCTAGTAAAGTTGCACTCTGAAGCCGACCAGTCAGAGTATTAATTGTGTCGGTGGCCGTTTGTTTGGCCGGCGCCTGCGACTCGAGGATTCGGAACATCGCAACTGGTAGCTCGTAATTTCATGGTCACCGCCGGCCGGGGGCGTAGCAAGTTATAGGCATTGAATTTACGGAGGTGTGGGGAGAGAGGAGAGAAGCGAGTGGATCAGCCAGCTGAGTTGTTCTCTCCGAAGCTGCAGCGGCAGCAATGGGTGGTGGTGATTATGATGAGAGCACACGGGATAGTGCCAGTAGTCCGCAGTATGGAGTTAGTAGTAGCCAAATAAGCCGCAACGATACCTAACTCCAAAAAGAATTAGAGCCAACAATGCTGTACTGCTGTGTCCCGACTGGTCATTGGTCAGGTGTTTGGGGGGCCCGCTGACTACGTACTTTGCTGCTTTGAGTCTAGTGTCTAGAAGGGGAAGTTCTGCCGGAACCGCGACAAAAGAAGCGCCGAGATCTCGGATTTCATGGTCGGGCAAGTCGACCGGCCATTGCGATCGCAGAGACTTCCACGCCTTCATCATTCCCCCTCACCTCTCGAGAGGGTCAGTCTTTTACTCCTAGTCATTCCCACAGTGTGGGATCGCGAGTTTCCCTTTCCCCTACACCCTATACCCTTCTACGGAAGTAATCATTTACGGGTCATTCCTGCAGACTCGGAGACGTTGAGATAGCCGATGCAGCGCATCAGCGAACCTGGCTTAAATCGATAGATCTACTCCGTATAATCTGTACAAACATCTTCATACACTCTTTGTCAAATTCTACTAGCAATCATGGGTGTCCCAGCGCTTTTCAGATGGCTTTCCAACAAGTATCCTAAGATCATCTCCCCCGTTATCGAGGAGTTTCCGCAAGAAATCAACGGCGAAGAGGTTCCCGTGGACACCACGCGTCCCAATCCCAATGGAGATGAGATGGATAATTTGTACCTGGATATGAACGGTATCGTTCACCCATGTACTCATCCGGAAGGAAAGCCGCCACCGTCGAACGAGCAGGAGATGATGCTGGAGATCTTCAAGTACACCGACCGTGTGGTGAACATGGTCCGCCCGAGGAAGCTTCTGATGATTGCTGTCGGTATGTTGTAACTCTTATCGCGTCGCCTACTTTGATCAAACTGTTAGACTAACTCATGCGTTTCTCCTAAACTAGATGGTGTCGCGCCACGCGCAAAGATGAACCAGCAACGAGCCCGTCGGTTCCGCTCTGCTCAGGAAGCCAGAGAGGCAGATGAGAAGAAGGAAGAATTCCGCAAAATGCTTGAGAGGCAAAACGGCAAGAAGGAAGACGAGGATATGCAGGAACAGGTCATCCAGAAGACGTGGGATAGCAATGTCATTACCCCGGGAACGCCTTTCATGGATATTCTCGCGGCAGCTTTGCGCTACTGGATCGCTTATAAGCTCAATACCGACCCCGCTTGGGAAAAGGTTCGTCTTCTGGTCTAGTTATTGTTGTATATCTTTTACTGACTTTTAGCAGCTTAAAATCATCATTTCGGATGCGACGGTTCCGGGTGAAGGTGAACACAAGATCATGGAGTTCGTCCGGTCACAGCGCGCGTCGCCAGAGCACGACCCGAACACTCGCCACGTCATCTATGGATTGGATGCCGATTTGATCATGTTGGGTCTTGCGACTCATGAGCCCTATTTCCGGGTCCTACGTGAGGATGTCTTCTTCCAGGAGTCAAGGGCTCGGACATGCCGGCTATGTGGACAGGCAGGCCACAAGGCGGAGGAATGCAAAGGTCAGGCAAAGGAGAAGAATGGACAGTTCGATGAGAAGGGTAAAGGAACCTCACTCAAGCCCTTCATTTGGCTCAATGTGTCAATCCTTCGGGAATACCTTGCTGCGGAACTGTACGTTCCGCAACAACCGTTTCCTTTCGACTTGGAACGTGCTCTGGATGACTGGGTCTTCATGTGTTTCTTCGTAGGAAATGATTTCCTTCCTCACTTACCCTCCTTAGATATCCGTGAAAATGGCATCGACACTCTGATAGCTATTTGGCGTGATAATATCCCCGTCATGGGCGGGTACCTGACCGAGGATGGACATGTTGACCTCAAGCGGGCCCAGCTTATTCTGCAAGGACTGGCCAAGCAAGAGGATGCTATTTTCCGTCGTCGTAGACAGGCCGAGGAGAGGAGGGCTGCCAACGAGAAGCGGCGCAAGCAGGAAGCCCAAGCGCGTGAAGAAGGTGCTAGGAAGCGGAGAAAAAGCTCTCCCAACTACGAAGCCTACGAGACACCTGCCGGCAATCCTAGCGGTGGTCGGTCTAAGGGTGCCGCAGATGCGGCGCCTCCCAATGCCGTGGAACTGATCACGCCTCAACGGGGAGAACTGACCCGGGAGGCGAGGCAGTTGACTCACAGCATGGTTACTAACCGCGGTGCGGTGTATAAGGCTAACATGGCGAACAAGAGTGCCGCGGCCATCCTGAAGAGCAAGCTCATGAAAGGTTCGGAGGCTGAAGAACCCTCCGAGAACACCGAAGAATCCGGGTCAGAAGCTCCAGAGCCTTCCGAGGAGAAGACCGAAGAGCAAACTTCGCCTTCGGTTCTCGGTAAGAGAAAGGCGGATGAGGTGGCAGAGGAGGCCGCAGCGACGCCGACCAAGAAGCCATCCGCGGGCGACTCTCAAAACGATGAACTGCCGCCCGACACTGTCCGCCTGTGGGAAGAAGGATACGCTGATCGGTACTATGAGCAGAAATTTGGCGTCGATCCCGAAGACAAGGAGTTCCGCCACAAGGTCGCACGAGCGTATGCCGAGGGTCTTGCTTGGGTTTTGAGATACTATTTCCAAGGATGCCCCTCGTGGACGTGGTACTACCCTTACCACTATGCGCCATTTGCGGCTGATTTCGTGGATATTGGCGAAGTGGAGTTGCAATTCGAAAAGGGAACCCCATTCAAGCCCTTTGAACAGCTGATGGGAGTTCTTCCGGCTTCTTCCAACCACGCTATCCCTGAAGTCTTCCATGATCTGATGAGCGATCCTGATAGTGAGATCATCGATTTCTACCCGGAAGACTTCCCCGTGGACCTGAACGGCAAGAAGTTTGCTTGGCAGGGTGTCGTTCTACTTCCCTTCATTGACGAGAAGCGACTGCTGGCTGCGATGGAAAAGAAATACCCTCTTCTCTCTGATGACGAGAAGCTCCGGAACTGCGTAGGCCGGGATGTGTTGTTGATCTCCGAGAGCCACCCACTGTACCACGATCTGGTGGCCAACTTCTATTCCAAGAAACAGGGAGCCCCCAAGTACTCCATCAATCAGCGAATCAGTGAAGGTTTGGCTGGTAAGGTTGAGCGCAATGAGTCGTACATCCCGCACAGCTCCTTGGTATCGTCTCTTGAAGAATACGGGATGCCGAGTTTGGATGATGATCGATCTCTCACGTAAGTTACTTGTTATCTTTCCTACTTCTTTGTGCTGTTTACAGTTAGCTAATGTTCCGGATCCATGGGTTAGGGTCAATTACGAAATCCCCAAATCCAAGCACGTCCACAAGTCCATGCTCCTTCGGGGCGCCAAGCTGCCACCCCCGACCCTGGACAATGCGGATATCCAGGCCGTCAAGAACAAGGCACACCACTCGGGCCGATTCCATGGAGGAGCTCCGCTTCGCAATGGCAACCGGGGAGGCCGGATCAACTATGCCAGTGAGCGGCCGAACCCATTCGCGGCCCATCTGGACCCCAAGTTCATGCCGCCCGGTAACAGTGGTGGAGCGCCGACGGGCATGCCTTCTGGGTGGGTTCCTCCGAACGCTGGAGGCGGTGGTTACAACCGCGGGCCACCGCCACCTCCCCGCGGAGGAGGAGGAGGAGGTTACCACCAGCGATCGCACTATGGCGGCGGCGGCGGCGGCGGTGGTGGTGGTGGTGATTCCTACAACCAACCAATGGGCAATTACGACTACTATGGACGTAGTCAACAAGGATACTATCAGCAGCAAGGATCCTACGGTGGTAGCAACCACAACAACGCGTACCGTGGACGCTCATCCAACTACGGGGGATCCGACCATCGCGGTGGGTATAGCCGCGGAGGTTATTCAGGTCGGGACCACTATTCGTCCCGGAACTCTGGCGGTGGTGGTGGAGGTGGATATGGACGGTATTAGATAAGGGGATTCATGTTCGAGAACATGAGAGATTCGGATGAGCAAGGGAATGTCTATTACGCATGATCGATCCAGGGCCATTTGCGCCAATGCCACGTTAACTATCTATCTACTTCCTTCTTGTTGTTTGTATGCTTATCTCTATGACATTGTGAAAAGGGCCAGAGAAAAGAGAAAAAAGGAGGCCAAGTGATCGGAGGGCCGGCGTTCGATTGGATAATATTTGCTGGGGTTCATTCATTCTATACAACTATCTGTATAGCAATCAAAAGGTCTCGCGAGCATCGCGAATGGATACGACACCTTCCTTCCAACCATGTAGAACACAGCTTGTCAGATCAATATATAATGCTGTAGATCCCGCCCAGCTGGAAGTAATTCTTTGCCCGGTAAGATTTGCGACCGCGATAGAGTCAAGTCTCAAGTGTTCGGATCCGGATCGGGGTGTAAGACATAAGGAGGATTCACGGATCCGGAATGAGGATGGATGGAAGGAGTCTGGAAGTGTCAGCTTGACAGGACGTTTCGAGAGACGAGGAAGCTCGTGTTAATAATAAGATCGAGGTTGAGCAACACGAGGAGATCGTAGCTAGTCAGATTGGTCCACACAATTAGGTCTTCAGATGTCAGACAGGGCAGTATCTACTATCTAGAGTAACTCCGGTGGAGAGGCGGAGTTGCCAAACCAACGGGGCGCGACGACATCGGAGCGGGAGGAAAAGAAAAAAAGTAACTTAGTTAACGGAGGAGAGCGACTGTGAGTCAACGACTCCAATTGCGACCGCCGGTGGATCTCCTTCTACAATAATCCCTCCCCTCCAACCCAATAAAAATTCCCCCATTCTTTCCTCTTCCTTCTCGATTACTAGTTTCATAGTGACTACAAACCATCCATCCATCCATCCATCCATCCACCCTCCTCCATCCCTCGTGGTTCCGGCCCCCAACTTCCAGCCATCTGGGCATCTTGGAAGAACTCTCTCTCTCTCTCTCTCTCTCCCTCTCGCTCACATCTCGTCTCGAGTCTGAATATTTCCTCACCGGTCAAAGCGGAGTTGCGCCCCGCTGTCGACGAGGAACTTCCTTTCGATTCATTTCTTACTCAGGTACAATTCCCTTTCTCTCCCTCACACACTCTCTCTCCCCCTCTCCCCCTTGCGCCGTATATATATACATATACATGATGTATTTCTTCCCCTTCCCAAACATTTACCCCAATTGAACGAGTCACATCTTTCCCCCTCCTTCTACCCCCACCTGCCAGAAGCTTACCGGTTGCAAATCCCCCACAGTATGAATTAGAGAGACACACTGGCATCTTATTCCCGAGTTGACTACGTCTCCATTCCCTTCTGATATCCTCCGAACGATGAGCGAACCCACGAAGATCAGCATCTTGGGTCGTGAGAGCATTGTCGCGGATTTCGGCCTCTGGCGCAATTATGTCGCCAAGGACCTGATCAACGGCTTGTCCTCCACGACCTACGTCCTCGTCACCGACACCAACATCGGTTCCCTTTATACCCCCGGCTTCCAGAAGGCCTTCGAACAGGCTGCTGCCGCCGTCTCCCCCAAACCTCGTTTGCTCGTCTACCATGCCGCCCCCGGTGAAGTCTCCAAGTCGAGACAGACAAAAGCCGACATTGAAGACTGGATGTTGAGCCAGAGCCCGCCATGCGGTCGTGACACGGTCGTCATCGCTCTGGGCGGTGGTGTCATTGGAGATCTGACCGGTTTTGTCGCCTCGACCTACATGCGTGGCGTCCGCTATGTCCAGGTCCCCACAACACTTCTCGCCATGGTGGACTCTTCGATCGGCGGAAAGACCGCCATTGACACACCATTGGGCAAGAATCTGATCGGTGCGATCTGGCAGCCGTCGAGAATCTACATTGACCTGGAGTTCCTGGAGACGCTCCCGGTTCGGGAGTTCATCAATGGTATGGCGGAGGTGATCAAGACCGCAGCCATCTCCAGCGAGGAGGAATTCACAGCGTTGGAGGACAACGCCGAGACGATACTGTCTGCCGTCCGCCGGGTAGTCCAGCCTGGCCAGCGCCGCTTCGAAGGCATTGAGGATATCTTGAAGGCTAGAATTCTGGCGTCTGCTAGACACAAGGCTTACGTCGTCTCCGCGGACGAGCGCGAAGGTGGTCTCCGGAACTTGCTGAACTGGGGTCACTCCATTGGTCACGCCATTGAGGCCATCTTGACCCCTCAGGTTCTCCACGGAGAATGTGTCGCCATTGGTATGGTGAAGGAGGCCGAATTGGCCCGCCATCTCGGCATCTTGAAGGGCGTTGCCGTGGCTCGCATTGTTAAGTGCCTTTCAGCCTACGGCCTGCCAACCTCGCTGAAGGATGCCCGGATCAAAAAGCTCACCGCAGGAAAGCACTGCTCCGTCGATCAGCTGCTCTTCAACATGGCTCTGGACAAGAAGAACGACGGTCCCAAGAAGAAGGTCGTTCTGCTTTCTGCCATTGGACGCACTTACGAACCGCGCGCCAGCGTTGTCCCGAATGAAGACATTAGCGTCGTTCTGGCTCCCAGTATCGAGGTCTACCCTGGCGTCGCAACCTCCTCGAACGTCGTCTGCACTCCTCCGGGTTCCAAGAGTATCTCCAACCGTGCTCTGGTTTTGGCCGCTCTCGGTTCGGGCACTTGCCGTATCAAGAACCTGCTGCACTCCGACGACACCGAGGTGATGCTCAACGCTCTGGAGCGTCTGGGCGCTTGCACCTTCTCCTGGGAAGAGGAAGGCGAAGTGCTCGTCGTCAATGGCAAGGGAGGCGACCTTCAGGCCACTTCCCACCCTCTGTACCTGGGAAATGCCGGTACCGCTTCCAGATTCCTCACCACTGTCGCTACCCTTGCCACTCCCACTGACGTGGATTCGAACGTTCTTACTGGCAACAACCGCATGAAGCAGAGACCGATCGGCGACTTGGTCGACGCCCTGACCGCAAACGGTGCCTCGGTCGAGTACATGGAGAGAAAGGGTAGCCTTCCCCTGAAGATCGCTGCCTCCGGTGGATTCGCGGGTGGTCAGATTAACCTTGCCGCGAAGGTTTCATCCCAGTATGTCTCCTCGTTGCTGATGTGCGCTCCGTACGCCAAGGAGCCGGTCACCTTGAAGCTGGTGGGTGGAAAGCCCATCTCCCAGCCCTACATCGACATGACCACGGCCATGATGCGCTCTTTCGGTATCGATGTGAAGAAGTCTACCACTGAGGAGCACACCTACCACATTCCTCAGGGCCGCTATGTCAACCCTGCTGAGTACATGGTGGAGAGCGATGCCTCTTCGGCTACCTACCCTCTGGCCATTGCGGCGATCACCGGCACTACTTGCACTGTGCCCAACATCGGTTCCAAGTCCCTCCAGGGTGATGCTCGCTTCGCCGTCGATGTTCTCCGTCCCATGGGCTGCACTGTTGAGCAAACGGACAGCTCCACCACTGTTACTGGAGCGCCTGGTGGTGTCTTGCGGCCCCTGCCCAACGTCGACATGGAACCTATGACCGACGCTTTCCTCACGGCTTCCGTGCTCGCGGCTGTCGCGCGCGGTGATGGCTCAAACCACACGACTCGCATCTACGGAATCGCCAACCAGCGTGTAAAGGAATGCAACCGTATCAAGGCCATGAAGGATGAGCTTGCCAAGTTCGGTGTCATCTGTCGTGAACATGACGACGGCATTGAAATCGATGGCATTGACCGCACCAGTCTGCGTCAGCCTGCCGGAGGCGTTTTCTGCTACGACGACCACCGTGTCGCGTTCAGCTTCAGTGTTCTTTCTCTCGTCACTCCTCAGTCGACACTGATTTTGGAGAGAGAATGTGTCGGCAAGACCTGGCCCGGCTGGTGGGACTCGCTGAAGCAGCTGTTCTCCGTGAAGCTGGAGGGTAAGGAGCTGAAGGAAGACGAAGCTGCGGCTCTCACGCAAGCTGAGAAGTCCAGTGCATCCATCTTCATTATCGGCATGCGTGGCGCTGGAAAAACCACCAGCGGACAGTGGGTTGCTAAGACTCTTAACCGCCCGTTCCTTGACCTCGACACCGAGCTTGAAGCTACGGAGGGAATGAGTATCCCCGACATCATCAAGCAACGTGGATGGCAGGGATTCAGAGACGCTGAGCTCAGTCTTTTGCAACGCACGTTGAAGGAGCGCTCAACTGGCTATGTCTTCGCTTGCGGTGGTGGTATCGTCGAGATCCCCGAGGCGAGAAAGTTGCTTATCGATTACCACAAGACCAAGGGTAACGTTCTGCTCATTATGCGGGATATCAAGCAGGTCATGGACTTCCTCTCCATTGACAAGACCCGCCCCGCTTATGTTGAAGACATGATGGGAGTCTGGCTGCGCCGGAAGCCCTGGTTCCAGGAGTGCAGTAACATTCAGTACTACAGCCAGACTGCTACCTCTGGCGGTCTCGCTCGTGCATCTGAAGACTTCAAGCGCTTCCTCCGCACTGTTACCGGAGAGGTCGACAGTCTTAGCACCATCAAGCGCAAGGAACACTCGTTCTTTGTTTCTCTGACCCTGCCCGACCTCCGTAATGCTAGCGATATCCTGAAGAAGGTCTGCGTCGGCTCCGATGCAGTGGAGCTCCGTGTCGATCTTCTGGAAGATCCGACGATGGATGGTGATATTCCTTCCGTCGACTACGTCGCCGAGCAGCTGTCTTTCCTGCGCAGCCACGTCACCCTACCTGTCATCTACACTATTCGCACCAAGAGTCAGGGCGGTCGCTTCCCTGACGACGCCCATGCCGAGGCCTTGGAGCTCTACCGCCTTGCGTTCCGGTCTGGACTCGAGTTTGTGGATTTGGAGATCGCCTTCCCCGATGAGATGCTGCGCACCGTCACGGAGCAGAAGGGCTATTCTCGCATCATTGCGTCGCACCACGACCCCAAGGGTGAGCTCTCCTGGAGTAACATGTCGTGGACGAAGTACTACAACCGTGCGCTGGAGTACGGTGATGTGATCAAGCTGGTCGGAGTTGCCAAGAACCTGGACGACAACAACGCCTTGAGGAACTTCAAGAACTGGGCTGCCAGTGCTCATGATGTTCCCTTGATCGCTATCAACATGGGCGACAACGGACAGCTCAGTCGGATCCTGAACGGCTTCATGACCCCTGTATCCCACCCCAGCCTTCCGTTCAAGGCGGCACCCGGTCAGCTCTCCGCTGCTGAGATCCGCCGGGGTTTGTCTCTGATGGGAGAGATCCAGCCCAAGAAGTTTGCCATTTTTGGCACACCCATCTCTCAGTCCCGTTCCCCTGCTCTCCACAACACCCTGTTCGCCCAGAGTGGTCTGCCTCACGAGTACAGCCGCTTGGAAACCGCCAAGGCTGAAGATGTCAAGGACTTCATCCGCTCCCCCAACTTTGGCGGCGCCTCGGTCACGATCCCTCTGAAGCTGGACATTATGCCATTGCTGGACGAGATCGCACCCGACGCCGAGATTATCGGTGCGGTGAACACGATTGTGCCTGTTTCTCAGGGTAAGGGCCAGCCGGCTCGCTTGGTTGGTTACAACACGGACTGGCAGGGCATGACGCTGTCGCTGCGCAACGCCGGTGTGTACGGATGCAACGGAGACGCCAGCGCCGTGGTGGTTGGTGGTGGTGGCACCGCTCGCGCCGCCATCTATTCTCTGCACAACATGGGCTACTCCCCGATCTACATCATTGGGCGATCCCCCGCGAAGCTTGAGAGCATGGTTCAGACTTTCCCCAGCAGCTACAACATCCGCATCGTCGACACGATCGATGCGCTGGATACCATCCCCAAGGTGGCCATTGGCACGATTCCGGCCGACAAGCCGATCGATTCGGGCATGCGCGAGACGCTGTGCCACATGTTCGCTCGGGCTCAGGAGATTGATGCTGATATGGTCAAGTCGGTGGAGAAGGTGCCTCGCGTGCTGGTGGAGATGGCATACAAGCCGTCGGTGACGACGCTGATGCAGCTGGCCAACGACGCCGGATGGCACACAGTTCCTGGTCTGGAGGTTTTGGTTGGCCAGGGATGGTACCAGGTAGGTTCTTCCAGGTGATTACATGATATTGAGTGAAGACTAATGTGGTGTACTAGTACCAACGCTGGACCGGTATTTCGCCTCTCTACGACGATGCCAGGGTGAGTTATTTTATTGAGATGCCTTTGATGCAAAAGACACTTGTGACTGACTGAATCGATTACAGGAAGCCGTGATCGGATCCCCCGACCCTAACTCGGCATGAGTTCTGCAAACTGAGTGATTCACATGAACGATCTCGGGTTGTTTTTTCTACATTTATTCCGCCTTCAACGGCGACTTGATATAATTATCAGTTTTGACTTGATAAAGTGAGCTGGATCATATAAATGGAGTTTCCTATTATCTTCAATAATTTTCCCTTTCCATGTTGTAATACTTGGTATGCCCACTAGGTGTAATGTAGACAAAACACAAGCAATACAGACAGCAACATACATACACCTACGCGTCTTAAATCCACCGTAACCCACCGACTCGCACTCCCGACATCGAACATCCATACCAGTAGGAGTAGAAAAGAGTCATACGTAGTGTATACGAGAAGAGGACACGCACCACCTGAACTAGAACTAAAACAACCCCACAGATTTGCACCGATACTGACGACTAGACGATTAACTTTGTTGATAGAGACCTATTAATAGAACCGCTCGGAGATATACCTGAGTATACATAGCCTCATCAAGACATAAACATGTCTCTCAAATAATAGTAACGATGGACGTATGTATTGAATTGATTTGATTGACTAACAATAATACGCAAGATATTATCCACTCCTCAGCTAGCCAGAACATCGCGTATGCAATCCATACAGTGAAAAAAAACAATAATAGCGAGTAATCAACAATAGACTTGATCTAGAATCAGATATCTAACTACACCTACTACTACTAAAATTAATCCTAAGCGAAGATCAGATTTTTTTTAATTGATAGCGGATAAATTAATCTGATGTGCTGGTCAATTGAAAAATATTGGTGGGGGGGAAAGTAAGTTGTTGGTTCTAGACCCGACCGACCGACCGGTCGCGACCGGGGTGCGCGGGCTGTGGGAGAGTCTGGACCCGACCGTCTTGTTCTACATTCTTAGTTTAGATGGTTGTTAGTTATCAACAAAGGGTGGTATGGGTATGCTAAGAGTCAGGCTGAGGGGTCATGTGCGCGTGTAGGGTTCAAAATTGAAAATTCTTTGGTGGAACTGACTAACTGACTAGCTGACTAGCTAGCTAGATAGTAGTTTATGTATGTGGTTGTTTTGGGGATATTCTAGAAGGGTCTGTTTTTGGTTGCATTACTCAGTACTACTAGTAACACTGGTAGATGTGTTGACATACCAGTAAGTAGATATATTCTATTATCTGATGAGTAGTAGTATAGTAGGAATATATTTTTGTGTTGGGCGGAGGCTGAGTATCCGGGAAGGTGATTATTGGTGCGCGTATGTCGGATTCAAAGGCTTAGTATTTATATCTATGTATATATATTGAATAATTGAAATATATAATTAATACTTCATATACACTCTACAGTAGTTCAAAGAAAATACAGTCTTGTGGCTGGCGGGGTAGTAAAGCCCGATAACAATGTGTCACTAGTAAAGGTCTGTCTGATGGTGGATAATTAAAAATAGTAACTTTTCCTCGGTTCAAATCATCAGATAGATCTTGGCCCATCATGACTCGAACAATTGCTACTACACTACTACACTAGTCTATGGCATGTCTCACATCAATAATTGATAAGGTGATTCATTGTCATATTTGACCAAGTCAGGATTAATCTTAGTACTGTTAGTTAGTTAGCTGTCATGATCAGCTGCCACTAAGACATTGGTCACCAGCTGGCACGAGACACTTTTTCCTTAGTATTGTTCAACGGTCGCTCGGTCGGTCGAGAACCTTCCATGGAATGATTAATTCATTGATTCGGTTGGGTACCTACATACTTGCAGAAAATAGATCGTAGTTCGGTTAGTTCGTTAGTTATCTACATAGTAAGTAGTGTCTATGCCCAATCAGCATAATCCTGGGCTGTGGCATCCTTGCGACCGGAGAGAAAAAGTTAGGGTAAAGTAGTGGGTGGATGCGGGTGACCCGTGGTGCCGTGTACCCGAACACAACAATGTGTCTCAGTAGTCAGTAGACTACTAGCATCAGTCACTAGTGATCGACCGGGCCGATGACCCAACGACTACGTAGAATACTCTCTCCAAGTCTTGTCTTGATATCTCTCTCTATCTAACTACCATCGATAAAATAGACTCAAACACAGGATAATGGATAATCTGATGGAGACTCGGTGGATATTCACGTCATCAATGCACGCGAGAACCATGTCATGCCCGGTCGGGGAACCGAAAATCGTAGGAGCCATGATTCCCATGGGGCATCGCCTACAGTAGATTTCCCGAGAAGTTTGTTGCAATCAAACCGGTGACTCGTGGGAAATCGGGGAGGAAAGTGGGGGAGGAGATCCGAGAAAACAGGTTGCAACGGATCAATGAGCCTGCTATCGGATGTCGGAAAGACAGGATTGCGAAGAAGACAGAAGAAGGAAGGGGGAAAAAAAAAAGCAAAGAGTACAACCTATCCGAGTAGGTGCTGCACTGGTGTAGGGAAGATAGTAGTCCGGGACTAGTCTGGAAGTTAGTTGGTTTGCAAGGTTTTTCCCTGGACTCGGCTTTGCACGGCCCAAAATTAGAAAAGTTCTAGAAAAGACGTGGAAGAAGTCTATACGGCTGCGCCGAATGGCATTCTCAGCAGACTAAACCGTTTTGGCGTGGTCTTGCATATCCTTGACGTATGGAACCAGCGGTCGTTACCGAAATTACGGCGTACGGACGGAGTACGGGGCCCGAGTTACGCCTAAACGGGGGAAGAAGAGCGAATGGGGAGCTGCCCGCGGAGAATCCTGAACCACAAATCGATGAACTGGCAACCGGGCTGTGGCTGTGCGCCCTCCCAGCCAATCACACGCCGGGATTCATCCCTGAGCAGCTGCAGGGGGGAAAGACGAACGGAGAAAGAAAGGGATCATGGAATCCCGAGAGAAGAATTTTCTCACCCTTCCATGCATTAGTCTGTCACTAGTTGCGTCCGTTAGCATGTGGCAGGCAGGGGAGTCTGGCACACTGTTGTCCGGGTTGCTGGTACGTGCTACTAGTAGCCCGAGATCGTCGCCCCGTGCGAGCATAGAGTGCTGACTGGGCACTCTTCCCTACCAATGAAAATTTTTTCACTGCCGTCTAAGGCCTTTCATAATGCATTTGTCTTGCAGGGTTCCTGGCGAAGGATTGGTCCGGCCATCCTTGTAGCACATGGCATGGTCTTTCCGCTGGAAAGAAAAAACAATTTGACTTTGGTGGTTGCTGCTCGGCTACATGCTTCGGCAGTCCTGAAGACGCTTTGTTCCGACAACGAGTGGAAGTGGTGATGTCTTGCATTACGAGCTGAAACTCTCTGATCTCCATGCTCGACTCATTCAATTTTGGGGCTCCATGACATCTGTCAAATCATGTAGCTCCATTGACGTCGGATCACGGTCTTCCTCCCATTCCCCCGGCCGGGGAGGAGGGGCTTTTCCCAGATACCCGTCCCTCAGACCCGCCGGGGTCCCATACAACTCAAACACTGGATATCTAACGCCCGGGACAACTGGGGCAAATTGTCCACTCCAGCTAGGTCCAACCAGCGAAGGCTGTAGTCTTCCCTGTTCCGGTCGCCTTGTGCTGACGGACGGCATCTGCGATACACTGTAGAAAGAAAAGTACTCTGTATAGGTATAGGCCACAGGATTTTTGCTACGGCTGAATGCAGACGATCCAGCCAGCTGGGTCAGAGATAGTGGCAGATGGGGCAGAGCCCATTTGCTGTTACCTAAACTCGAGCTTGAAGTCTTTGCCACCAGTTTCAGCTGTCTCGTCTACTCCTGTGGTGGGCCCGCAAGTTGGGGCTTTTGTTTGGGGTCCTTGACAGGGCTCTGTGACCATAGCTTAGTTGGAATGGAGTTATGGTGGAACCTGGTGGCTTGAAGCCAAAAGGTAGTTGCATTAAACTATCCCCAATCACAGGTGTCAATGTACCAAGGTGGTCGAGCATGTGTGGACCGGAATCAACGCCCGTCCCTCCACGTTGCGTACTTTGTATATGAGGCGGCCACGCGTAGACAACCTAATTGAAAATTTTTTTCAGGGCAAGCAGGAACGTGCCAATAACGTTTGAATCTTACTATTTGCATGTGAAAGCGATAGGAAATCCTGGATCGTTGAAGGGGAAAGAGCTTTCCACCAGTCACACCACTACCACCGCAAGTCACCTCACATTGTTTTTGCACTTGGTGTAATCCAGCAGTATGATTTGCAATTGCCTAAGGGGCGAATTACTACGTATTCGTAATCGTGCAACTTGGAACCCATGCAGAGATGACTCTTGTGAATACTAACTAAGACTAATACAGGGACAATGACTCAACGCCAGAAGCAACCAGATGCAACTCGTATGGTCCCAACGGGAATGACTTCCTCCGATATAGGACATGTGCTGCTTCGGTTAGCGCGCAGGACCGTGGTACACTCAAGACATAATCTGTCATGCCATGATAAGAGCATCAGCTGACCCGATCACGCGTGGAGAGAAAAAGATGGCATTGCTGCAAGAGAGAGAGAGAGAGAGGGACCATGTTTGCTGCATGGCAGGGCAGGCAGGCTGGGGGTGGGAAAAAGAAAGGACCACCGGCCGAGAACCCAGTTCGGAACAGATGTGCCGTGAAAATCAGGCTGCTAGCGTTGGGGGCAGCGCTAAGGCATGTCCAGTGGCAGTTTTGCTGTTGTGTCGGCGATACGCAGTCTCCGAGGCCGGGGTCATCAATCTTGGCGCCGGCGTATGCCCGACCTTTTGCCGGCCCAGACAGTTCTCGACCCGTCTCAACGTTCAACATGACCGACCACATTATCAAATTCTCTCTACAGTTGCTGACAAGTGTGGGTGGAATGCAGTAGTGTCTGCCAGAAGCATCTTGTGACGGTTTTACTCGGGCAACTCCGTGGAGTTTCGCGGCCGACCGATTACTATTGTTCATCCGGTGGATGATGAGTGGATTACTAAGGTGTGACTAGGCATGAGACATGCACTAGCCACATCATAGTGGTATTGTGGCGCAGGCAACCTGTGGCTTGTGGGGGTATGTCTGTTCGCGTTGGCACCTATTGACTAGTTTGTCTGTATCGATGATCGG